TTGGATATAAGGAATCCTACTTCGCGGAATTTCATTTATCACGGTAGGGTCTAGAACCGATTAACCGCGATAAACGAGGGTTCACTGTACTCTGGGAGCTTTTAACCGAAGTGCTCCCCTCTCCAGCCACGGCCTCCACCCCCCTTTGCCCAGCCATTCTCAGCCTCTTGCTTTCCTTAAAAAAATAAAATAAAATAATCCAGCTGGTTCCTAGAGGGTTGGCCTGCTAGCCACAAGGACGGTGACAGTTCAGTGCCCCCATCTACTCCACGGGAGAAAGATGAGGCTTCCTGCCACTGGAAAAACTCACCGCCTCAGAAACCTGAAGAAGCTGCTCCACTCTGTCCTGTTGGCCCCTTTGAGTCAGCATCCACTGGGTTTGGTTTTTTGGTTGGTTTGTTTTGGGATGGAACCTAGGAGTTAATCTACAGCTGGCCAGAGCTAATGGGCGGACCCAGGTAGGAGACCAGAGTAAATGTCTATGGGGACAACACACACACACACACACACACACACACACACACACACGGCTCACACACTGCCATCCCTGCGTCAAGGCTGACTCACAGCGACCCTAAAGATAGACAGAGCAGAACTGCCCGACGGGGTTCCCAGGCCGTCACTCTTATGGGACAGAAAGCCACGTCTTTTCCCAGCAGAATAGCTAGTGGCCGTGCACTGCTGCCCTGGTGCTTAACAGTGTATCTCATAACCCACCACCCACCAGGGACCCTTCAGGACTGGTGGGATGCCACTTTCAACCAGTGGTGAGCATCTGTCACCCAAAGTATAAGAGGCGCATTAAAATTCTCAGAACATCCTGAAGTCTACCTGGAGGCAAAGTGAATAGCCGACATATGGAAAGAAAAGTGTAATCACGATTTCCTTGTCAGTTCCACAAGTCTCTTTGCTCGCCCCTCCCCCTTTCCCAGAGATAAGCAACACCATGTTTTTGCAAGTGATTGTGATAATGTCGAGTCCGAGGTCCAAACGCAGACCTACTGAAACAGATTCTACACAGCTAGAGCCTGGGAATCTGTAGTATTGACAAGCACATCATGGGAGTCTGACACACATGGTAACATGTGGACTATTACTACTCCAATCAATGAAAATACTGTGTGATAAGCTCTCTTAGCAATACATCACCATGGAAATGTCCCCTATTATTAATAGTTAACCTTAACCAAGTGGCTGTTCCCAGGCACCTGGCTGAGTTCCGAGGGCAAGCACACTTCTTCAAAGCACTGGGGCCAGACGTGGTAGACCCTTGAGTCTCTATAAAGTGTAGCACCAGTCATCCTGCTGCCCCACTCTGCCCCTCCTGCAGGGGTGGGGGTGGGGCTTTTGCAATGGCTGGCTTCCTTTGCCTTCCAAACCCACACTCAATGTTAATGGGGTGTTGGAACCTCCACTGTGAAAAACCAGAGTGGTGCTCCAAAAAGCAGGTACCACAGTTCCACAGCACAAAGGCACCTGGCGTCTTTTATACAAACATACTCAGGTGTGCTACTAGTAGCAGATGTGCACTCAGTTTGTTGTCTCCCATCTGTGACTGTGCTGGGTTATTTACACTCCCCGTTTCCAGCAGAGCACCCATGAATTGATTTGAGTTCACCCCAAAGAAGCTTCTGGAGATATCTGTGACATCGATAAGCATTTATTGTGCCACGCTATGCTGTATTTTAAATATATACTATCTAATTTCATCTTTACAGCACCTCTTTGAGGGGGTTACTACTGTTACTTCTACTTTAGAGAAGAGGTAACTGAGGCACAGACACCAGTAAGTAAACTAAGGCTATCTAGCTAACCTGTGGATGTTAAAATGAGAACCTGGCAATGAGACTTTTCAGTTCATGCTTTGGAACCCCGTCTCCTATGATTCAATCCGCTCTGCCTCCCAGTGGAGCAGTGCTGTAACCCTCAATGGCTGAGACCTGGGTTTTCATCGGATTCACAGTGTAACTTTTACCAGGTGACTTAAGCTTCCCTAAACTTTATCTCCTCACCTATGGAGATCAAATAGCTATTTCAGCGTTAACATGTGGATTAAACACTGCCTGATGTAGTGGCTACGTGGTCGGCTGCTAACCGCATGATCAGCAGTTCAAAGCCACCAGCAGCTCCTAGGGAGAGTGATGGGACTTTCTACTCCCATAAAGAGTTAGTCTCGGAAACTCACAGGGCCAGTTCTCATCTGTCCTCTAAGGGACCGCTATGAGTCAGCGTCAACCCCATGGCAGTTAGTGGATGGTAGACATATGCTATATAAAAATGCTACTGCCACCATTCACACAACAGATTTTAGGGTGTGAGGGACATCAACAATTCTGACTAACAAGGCAAATACTAAGTTGATGCGAAACGAACTATAGTTGCATTCCATCTGTCTGTCCGCATCCTCTGGCAGGTCTTCATTTTGGTGTGACGGCATAAGGATACTGGATCCCGGTGCTCAGGAGGCTCTGATGGGAAACAGCAGCCTGAGCAGAACTGGGCTTGGCCACATCTGTTCGGCCCTGGTGCTCGCTCGAGGCTTATTCCTACCAGCTGGAAGGGCAGGCAGGTTCTGAGGGTCCTCAAGCTACCACTCCCATGCGGGGTTTCTACCCCTAAGAGAGGCCAGCTGGTGGGACTCTTCTAGAGTCTGGGAGTGACCCCCCAGCCCAACAGGGATTGTCTGACTGTCTCAGTTAGTGTTCTGGAGCTTCACGTCACTTCCTTCTTGTGTGATAGGTCCTCAAAATCTCTGGAGGCTATTTTCTCAGAGGGGGTGCTAGTCCCCGCTTGTGTCCTCTCTGCACAGGCCACGCTCCACTAGGGCAGCATCCAATTTCCGGCTCACCAGCATCTGGTCGTCAGCTCGGCCACAGCGTGTGCCTGGGGGGAAGGTCAACAGGACTCCAGGGAAGATACAACATTCAGGAGAGGAAGAGCAGCGTGCCACCGGGCTCAAGGGAAACTCTTTCCAACCCAGACGAACATGCTGATAGGCCATCTCCAGTTCTTCCCAGCACGACGTGGGCCAGGGCACTGAAGGCAGCTGAAGGTGTACCTCTGAAAGATCTCATTCCTTCAAAACAAGTCAGTCAGAACCTGAAGGGCCGTATCTTCTCCCGGATTGGATAACGAAACCACCATGCCAAAACATAAACACAAAACCTTCATAGAGGAAGATAACAGGAGATGGGATGCAATTATTGGCAGTGATCCGAGCGCCAGAATGACTACACAGAGGCTCAATGGGAGCAGCCTCTTGACTTTTTCCCAAGGCTCCATGAAGCTTCTTAATAATATCATACTAATAGCATACTGCCTCGTTCTACAAAGACCAGAGGAAGGTCCTGGGAAAAAGGGGAATTTTTAAAAAGTGCCTCAGTGTGAAGATTATCTTTGGATAAAGTACTAGCCAGACCCTCCAGTTGTCAACCCCTGGCCACTTTTTGGTAGGTGGGTGGCTCGTAAGGAGCATATACCAAATATTTCAAGGAGGCCAATCAATCTCGAAAGATGATCTTATGACCAAATTCTCACTCACGGCCATCCGCTCAGTTCCTAGAGGACAGGGCAGAGCTGCCCCGTGGGTCTCCGAGACGGTAACTGTTGTAGCTGTAGAAAGCCGCCTCTCCTGTGGAGCGGCTGGGGATGTCTAACTGGTGAAGCTGTGGCTAGCAGCCAGCTCCTAATTCAGCAGGACGAGGGCCAAATGGTGGACTCTATTTTTCAGACAGTTGCAATACTCCCTCCTGTGCCTCATGCTCTTGGAGAGTCTGACCTTGCCGGTACCTTAGGAAGAGGTGGAGACGATTGCCCGTCCTCGAGTGGGGTCCTTGTGACCAAGACAGGACAAGAACATGACGCAAGAGATGGCCTGAAGTGAGATCATAAGATGTGATGCAACCTCCACCTCGCTCACTCACACCTGGAGACCAAGCTGCCTCATAAAACAAACATCTGACAATGCTGAGGCTACCAAGTCACAGAGAGGCGCGCCATCCAGGTGGCAGTGCTGTTTAAGTCACCCCAGCCCAGATGGCAGGCATGCGTGAAAGAGCCTTCAGATGATTCCAGGCCCAGCGACTATGTCTTCCCAATTCCAGAGACCCTGGAGCAGAGACCCATGGTTCTCTGTCCTAAGTCCTGTCCCCCAGGACCCAAGAACATTATAAAATGGTTCTTTTAAGCTGTTAAATTTGGGGGTTAATTTGTTACACAGCACTTTAACTGGAATACTTTTGCTCAACCGATTCCTGCTATCATTCTCTCCTGCTTGTTTTCAGGAGTTCCTATTTCAAATGCCCAGTCGTTCTTGATGCACAAAGATTTAGCACATTCTCTTTGGCAGTTGCTTGTCAAAATGATGTCCATTCCACGAACAAATTAAAAGGCAGCACATGTGGAACTCCTGGATCTCAGGCCACAGTCGGACACCTTTAGCACGGCTGCTACATGTGCCCACCTGATTGACAGCGACTGCCTGGGCCACTGTTGAGGGCTTTTTGGTTTATGCTAATAGTCGGCTGTACAGCCACTGACCCAAATAAGGAAATCTTATGGGTAGTCATGGTAATGAACACAAAACCTAGTTTAATAAAGGAGAGCCGGCCAGTGCTGACGAAGACTGATAAGCCCAATCATTCAATAAGGGAAGCAAATTAGCCTCCGCATCAGTTGTTCGAATCATCTTTTGAAAGAGAATCGATGGCTTCGAGAGGTTTGGGCTCTATTCAAGTCATGAAGACAAGATAACTCATGCTTCTAAACACTCACCGTGTCTGTACTCTTGATGGCTGGCAAAGGATCAGTCCAAAGATTTTCCTAAAAGAAAAGAATCGTTTTGCCTCAGTAAACCAATAAAGGATTAGTCCACGCGTTAAGACATCTCCTTGCTCTTTTGTTTTTTTTTCTTGCCTTCGACAGTTTTGAATAGAATTCTGAGGCAGTAACGAAAACTTCTGTTGCCAATCTGTCTTTTTAGACACCACACCTTTCCCCCGCCCCCTAAGCATTTATTGTGAATGGAGGGAAGGCTTACAGAGCAAATCAGTTTTCTGTTCAACAATTCCCATACACTGGGTTTCACAGCACTGATTACACTCCCCACAATGGAACACTACTGATCCCGCTTCCTCCCTGTACTTGCCATTTCCCCAACCCTTCCTGACTTGTGAACGTTGTCCTTGGGCAAATGCTCTTTTGATCTCAAATGGTTGATAACTCTAAGGAGTATGTATCTCCCTGATGTTATTGTTACCTTAGGAGCCCAAGCTCACGGCCACTGAGTCCACTGCTCGTCCGAGTGACCCTCTGGGGCAGAGGAGACTCAGGCTTTCCCAGAGCAGACAGCGTCACCTTTCCCCAATGGAGGGGCTGGAGGGTTTGAGCCACTGACATTATTATTACGAGCAATCTGATACCGAGTTCTCCGGCTACCATCAGGACTCCCCCACCTTATTATTATTTGGCTAAAATTGCTTCACAGTGGTGAGGGGTTTGATCTTTTTCTGGTCTTTTTAATGATTTTGAGTTTGGGGCACATTTTCTCCCAGTCTACCCAGGCTCTTGTCATCCCTTTCAGCGTGGTGGGTGCTGGAGTTGGCACTACCTGGTTCTTCTGGGCTCAAGGTCATGGAGACATGTTTGAGTGGTCCACTAGACCACTGGGCTAATTGTTTCCTGATGTCTTCGATGTTCTTCACTCCTCTTTGCTCCAGAAGGAGAGGGACCAATATTTGCACTTGAGATAGCTGCTCACAAGCTTCTAAGACCTCAATCACCAGAGAAGGACGCAGATCACTGCTAATCACCAAAGACTCCATGGAAACTAGGGTCCAGACACTCTCAGCCCGGCAACTCATTCTTTCAGGGGGCTTATGGCTAAGAAGGAAGATGAACTGGTGTGGGAAGGAACATGGGCTGCATCTATAACTGTATATAGATTTGGTGGAGGCTATTTCTACATGTGTTTACCTATGCTGTAAATATATCCATGAATGTAAGACAGCACAGGGGGCATGGCTATCAAATCAAATTTATTATAGAATGTTTATGTATTCACAGTAAACTGTGTCCAAACGACGAGGATTATATATTTTTTTAACTGTTTCTAGCAAGCAAATACTAAAAGGGGAAGTCAATTTTTTTTTAAACCAAAGAATATTATTTGGAAGCAGTCACTTTGACTATTGGCATACAGGAAAGGGCTTCCAAAAGTCTGTGGAACTACCAAATTAAAGGATAATGGAATTTCTCCACAAACCTTTTAAAGCCCTCTGTACCTTCGCAATGATTGGACGAAGGCACCATCCCCCAAAGTTGACCACCCTGTCAGTTTCCCTCTCAGTTAGTAGATATGTAAAGGCAGTGAGATTGCTAGAAATATGGAGATCGTAACCTGAGCACCTGTCAGAAGGAGGGGGAAGTGGGGAGTCCACATCAGTGTGTGAAAGACAGAGAAGAAAAAAGCCCCAAAGTTGTTTGTGACGACTGCACCGCCCTTCTTGCTATGACGGAACCACTCAATGGCAGAATATGTCAATATAAATAAAGAAGTAGGCAGTTATTAGGCTCTTAGAATCCCTGAAGAAAATGAAGGTTTTTGAGAAAGATTAGGCTTATTTTGAGACAAATGTTCTACTTCTTGGTGCTTTAAAAAGAGCTGGAAATAACTACTATAAGTTTTAACTCCTACCATACAAAGGCCTTTTTTAGGAAGAAGGTGGGGCGGTGCACTTGAAGGAAGTGAAAAGAAAATCCGGGCACCAGAAATGTTACAAACAAACAAACAAAAACCAGGGCTTGGGTGGGGCGTGGCGAGAGTAATGCTTCCAGAATTCTCTTTCACGGATCAAGAAAATGCCTGAGCCAGACTCTAACACCGCGAAGTGACACGTGCCGGTCCCCAAGATGCTAGACTGCAGGAAGGCCACCCCATCCACCCGCGAATGGTGGCGTGTCCACGGACGGACGGGGCGTCTCTCCTTTGGGGTGTGGCGAAGGCGGGGCCCCGGATCCAACAAAGCCCTAGACCAGAAGAAGGCAACACTTCGCGGGCGGCTTCCCCATCCCATCTCCCGCCACGTTCCTGCGCCGGCAACCACTCCGCCCTCTCTCTCCTCTCCTGACCAGCCGGGTGCACCGGCCGCCGGCCTGCCCGCCCCTCCTGGCCCAGCCCCGCACTGTCCACGCGCGGACTCGGTGCCTCGGCTTCCCCCGGGCTCCAGCCTCCATCCGCGAGCGGAGGCGCCGCGTGGGACCCGACAGGTGGACGTCCTGACGGAGCTGTACCCCGCCGGGCCTCCTCTCCGGCTCCGAGCCTCCCTTCCAAGGCCACCCCCGGAGACAGTCCCGCGACCCCCGCCCTCCCACCGGCGCTGCCGGCCAACCTGGGCTCTGCCTTTCGGGGTGACCGTCGCGCGTCGGCGCGGAGCCCCCGCGGCTCCGTCCGGCTCTGCCCCGGCAGCGCGCTGTGCACGGCCCCGCTTGACGCCGCCATCCCGGGCAGCCTCACGGGGCACGGTGCGCGTTGCCCATTGGCTGTTACCACGGCAACCGGGAGCAACGCCGCTTTCCATTGGCCCTGCCCGGGCTCGGCGCCATCTTTGTGCGGGGCGGGGCGTTTCCGGGAGCCCGCGCCGCGGACCGCAACGAGGGCTCGGGCTGAGCCCGCGGTCCGCGAACCAAGACCCGGTCAACCGGGTCACGCTCCCCCGGAACAGGAAGTGTGACCCTCAAACGAAGTCGGCTTCGACGGGGATCAACGACCACGCTCGGTCCGTGCCGCCGACCCTCGCTGCTCGTCATGGCCGCGTCTCCGAGTTCCACGTAGCTCCCACTGGATCGGAGAGGTGAAGTTTGGCCGTGTTTCTGCACCGAGAAGGGCAGTCCTGTGCCACGCACTGAAGCTTGAGGACTTTTTATACTCTTGATGGGAATATTTTGTCCATATCATGACTCAGATCTTTTGTGTCAAAGACCGAACATTACGAGTGGAGCATGGTGCTAGGTTTTGTCGGTTTTTCAGACTTGATGGGCGCTCTCTGAGACTTATTACCTGGACGTAGAGAACAAAAGATTCATGCATGTTGAAAAACCCAAGACTATGACTTAACAGTGAGAAGGCAATCACATAAAAGAATAAGCAAATTGCTTCTCTATATTGGGATTTCCTCATCTGTGGGAAGGAAAATAATCGTAGTAATGAATACGGCTCAGTAGGACTGATGTGAGAATATAATGTAAAATGCACACAGCTGTGAGAGAGATATTAAGTGCTCCGTTTTCAAGAAGTTTGAAATACTTGGGTTCTATGTTCAAATCCCAGTTCTGCCACCAACTGTGTGTGATGTGAGACAATTTACTAAACTGTCTATCTTATAAAATTGGAATCTAGGGGATTCAATCCAGGTCAAACACTCAATGGTTATACAGGGTAAATGGTGTGGCACTGTCTAGAGATATAATTTCAGCTGAGAGAAGAGGGTATCAAGGAACTAGACCCTTGTGTTAGTCTGGGTAGACTAGAGAAACAATCCCATGGACACACACGTGTATAAGAAAGAGATTTATATACAGGAGCAATTGAACATTGAGAAATCATCCCAAGTCCATAAGTCCGATACTAGCCCATATGTCCAATAGCAATCTATAAAGTCCTCTTCAGACTCACAAAACACACGCAATGATGCTGAATATAGAAGATCACAGGCCAGTGGGTAGAAAGTCCTTGAATCCAGTGTCACTGGAAACATCTCAGCACTGGCAGGGGTCTCTGCATCAGGGTGGGTCCATGTGTCTTGTGAGCTATGTCTCCCAGGGTGTGAGCACTCTCCCACCTTCAAGGAGGAAATACTGGATTTCCTAGAATTCTCAGGAGAAGGCCATGCCCACACAGAGGCCTCATAGGTTATGATCTGATTGACAAGCTAGACTCCACCTCTACCTCTTAATTCTCAAATTGACAATTATATATATACCACAATCCTATTAGATTGGAGAACATCAGAAAATATGAAGAAGTAAGACAGACCAAATGATGAAAGGCCTGCAAACTAGGATGTGGTTTTATAAAAAAGTTTCTTTTTTAAAAAAATCATTTTATTGGGGCTCATACATCACAATCTATGCATACATCAATTGTGTAAAGCACACTTAAACATTTGTTGCCCTCATCATTCTCAAAATTTGCTTTCCTCTTGGGTTCCTGGAATTAGCTCATTTTCCTTTTTCCCCTCTCCTTCCTTCCCCCTTCCCCCCTCCCTCATGAACCCTTAATAATTTATAAATTATTATAATATTTTATTTTACACTGCCCGGCGTCTCCCTTCACTCCCCCTTCTGTTGCCCATCCCCCAGAGAGAAGGTTATATGTAGATCCTCGTGATTGATTCCCCCTTTCTACCTGTCCCCACTTCCCTCCTGGTATTGCCACTGTCACCGCTGGTCCTGAGGGGTTCATCTGTCCTAGATTCCCTGCGTTTCCGGTTCCCATCTGTACCGCTGTGCATCCTCTGGTCTAACCAGGTTTGCAAGGTAGAATTGGGGTCATGGTAGTTGGAGGGAAGGAAGCGTTTAAGAACTAGAGGAAGGTTGTGGGTTTCATTATTGCTATACTGAACCCTGAGTGACTCATCTCCTCCCCACTACCCCTCTGCAAGGTATGTCCAGTTGTCTACAGATGAGCATTGGGTCCCCATCACGCGCCACCCTCATTCATGATGATAGGATTTTTTTTCTCCCCCGCCTTTGGTGCAAAAAAATGTTTCTTGATCAGAAGAATTTAATAGAACCAGTGTTTTAAGAAAATTAATCAGATAGTGATATCCAGAGATAACCTGAGAAAGAAATCAGATAGTGATATCCAGAGATAACCCGAGAAAGCAAAATAAACTCAAAAACCATTGTAAGAATATAGCTATCCCTTTTGGGGAGACTCAGAACGAATAAACTTGGAAATGGAAAGAAGGAAATGAACAGGAAACCCATTTCATAAGGATATTTAACAAAAGGTGCGGAGCCAGTCTGCCAGGATTTGGATCTAGCTCAGCCACTTTCCATCGGTGTAGTCGTGAGCAATTACTTTGCTTCTCTGAGTGTTGATTTCCAACATCATAGAGGCTGTTACACTGGTTGTGTGAGTTAATCTATGTAATGCCCTTAGACCATAATATACATAGCTCATGTATATTAGGGAGTATATCATCATTCTTTTCAGTAAAGGGTAAACCAAATTCTGAGAGAACCAAAGGGGTTCCATGGGAAAGAATTCAATGGAGAATGCTGAATCTAGAAGTATTCCGTGACCATTAATTGAAGTTCAGGGGCTGAACGAGAAGCACAATCTCAAGAAGACAGCCTCTGTGGCTATGGCTCCCGAGAGACAAGAGGCAGGTAGGTATTCACTGCCGTGGAGTCAATTTCTATTCATATTCGCCCTACAGGGCAGAGTAGAATTGCCCCGTTGGGTTTCTGAGACTTTGAAGCAGACAGCCTTAGTTTTGCTTCCTTGGAGTGTTTAGTGGGTTCGAACCACTGACTTTTCAGTTAGCAGCTCATGGGTATATTAGTCCACTACCCCATCAGAGCCGGTAGGGATGATCATTCCCACCTCATGGGTGGAGAAACCGAGCCTTCTAGAGGTTAAGTAACGTGTCCCAAAGAATGAATAAACAAGGAACCAGAATTCAAACTCATAATTTTCTGATTCCTGAGCCCATGATTGTAACCATTGCATGGCAGATTTTAGAAAGTCGTTCTTAATATAAAAATTTAACTGGACTTAGATGTGTAATTATTCCCATTATATATTGTATTTTCTTTCAGATGCTACCCATTATCATTTGAGAGTTGCTTCTTGGTACCAGGGCCTGGATTTCCCTGTTCCACATCACTTCTCTGTTCAAGAGCTGTTCTTTCAAGTTCTCTCTCCCTTCAGGTGTTAGGGGTCTCCTCCACGTGGGGTTTCAGGCCCTTGATAAGCCAGCCCAAGCCTGTTTCCCCTGGAGTCAAACCGGTTACTCTTTGTTCCCTGCTCCCTATGTGTTGCATCCTTTCCTCCAATGACTCCTTCAGCTTTGCGTGCCCTCTTTTCTTCCCTTTTCTCCCTATAATGATCTGATCAGTCTTCCTTAATACCTTCGCTCATAGCCCATGTGCAGTTAAACTTTCCACTGTGTCTCCAGTGGTGAACTCCGAACGTCTACTGCAGTCTTTGGCTCAGATAGTTGGCTCCTCTGCTCTTTCCTTCCTCTTTTCCTTCTTTGTACTCTTCATTCGTTCCTTCTTTCTCTCCCTCCCTTCCTTCCCTTTTCCCTTCATTTCTCTCTCTCTCTGTGCTAGTCTGAGTGGACTAGAGAAACATTCACAGACACTCATGTGTATAAGAAAGAGCTTTTACAAGGATCTACATGTGACCTCCCTGGGGGACGGGCAACAGAAAAGTGGGTGAAGGGAGATGTCGGACAGGGCAAGATATGTCAAAATAATAATTTATAAATTATCAAGGATTCATGAGGGAGTGGGGAGCAGGGAGGGAGGGCAAAAAAATGAGCTGATGCCACGGGCTTAAGTGGAGAGCAAATGTTTTGAGAATGATGAGGGAAATGAATGTACAGATGTGCTTTACACAAATGATGTATGTATGTATGTATGGATTGTGATAAGAGTTGTATGAGCCCTAATAAAATGAT